AGACTCCAACTCAAAAAAAAAAAAAAAAAAGAATACACCCTGGGCTTATTCCTGGACTCCCCCTTGGGAACTGAGCACAGATGCCTCAGTGGCTTGCATTGAACTTAATCTGCTTCCTATTCACCATCCCTTTCCCAAAGCATGCCCTCTCAACACTTCACTTCCCTCTCCATGTCCTCCCCATCCTTGAAGACTCAGTTATGCCCCACACCTCCGTGTGTCCACTAACCCTGACCACCACTCTGGCCCACTTTGATTCTTTTTCAGAGCACTTTGTGGGGCCTTATATAATAACCAGTCCCTCCTCTGAATTCAAAGCTTTTGTTGACAGTTATTTGGTACTTAAATTTTAAGTGTATTCTGCCATTTATGTGTTGTCTGGTATCACTCACGGTTTCATGGGTTAGCCTTGTTTCCCCAACCAGACTGCAAACTAACAGACCCCCGGTGTGGCCTCACTTCAAATGTCTCACCATGTGTTCTGCCCACTGAGCCAGAGTCATCTTTAGAAGGTCAGGTCTGCCCATTCGAGCCCTTGCTTAAACTCTTTAAGTGGTCGCTTTTGCCCTCAAATGCTCACAAGTGTTGACCTGGCTGCTGCTGACCTCTTCTGCCTCATTTTCCTCTGGCTCTCGACTCTCCAGCTACACACTCTTCTCTCTGCCTGAAATGCTCTGCCCTTGACCTCTTCTCGCTTCTAGGATTCCATTGTGTCTTGTGGACATCCTGGGAAGCTTCCTGTCCCCTGTAAGAATGGGCTCTGTACTTGCCCATTATGGCCCCATGAGATGACTTAGGAGCAGGTTTAACATATTGTTTTTTGGTTGTTTTTTTTTTTTTTTTGCTTTTTTTTGAGTTGGAGTCTCACTCTGTCGCGTCAACGCCTCACACTGTGCTTAGCACACAGAACAACAAATAAATATTTGTCCAAAAAACAAGGTGGACATCAATGATTGTTAAAAAATTAAGTATAAGGGGCTCCTTAATGAGGAGAGAGGGGACTCGCTGCAGTTTGGTTTTTTTTTAAGCCATTGTTTTTGCCCTAAAAGAACAGAAAGGACCATCTCTCTTCTATGAATCTCTCCTCTACCAATGGGTCAGGAGAGGACACCAGGGATGATGAGTGAGGAATGGAAGCAACCTCAGTCACCTTCTGACTTCCCGCATCCTGATACTGCAGGCTGAGAGGAACTCCCAAGGACGTGTTGTTCCCGTGCTGCGTTTATAGATGGGGAAATGGGTCTAAGGAAGGGAGAAGGTTTTCCCAAGATAGTCCACCTGGGTTAGCAGCAGAGCAATGACATTCTGGAGGCCTTAGAGAAGGGAGAGAGTGTCTTTCTTGTGCAATTCATTGTCCCAAGCCTTGCTCTGCCTGCCTGTGAAGCCCCAGGGTTGGGTCTGAGCCCTGTGAGTGCCTTCAAGTACAGGGTCCTGTTTCATTTATCCATTTGTTCATTTAACGGAGCATCAATTCCCTGTCAGGCCTTCTGTGATCTCTGGGGATACAGCACTGAAAAAAGACCAAGTCCTTACCCTCATGGAGCTGACAGTCTGATGACAGAGGCAGAAGTAGACACACCCTTAGTGGATGAACAATATTTATCTCTCTGTCTCTGGTATGGTGGTTTTGCAATTTGGCGGCACTTTGTTTAAAAATAATTGAAATGCTAGTCCAGACATTCAAAACAAAAGAGACACATTTAATTAGTGACTTCAAACCTGTTGCTTTTTCCTAATCAAGGCAGTTGCAGTTATCAAAATATCACATATAACTGAAAAATATGTATCTATTATTTATCAATTTTTTTTGAGTTGGGGGTCTCACTCTGCTACTCAGGCTGGAGTGTAGTGGCATGATCACAGCACACCACAGTCTTGACCTCCTGGGCTCAGGAGATCCTTTTGCCTCAGCCTCCTGAGTAGCTGAGTACAGGTGCTTGCCACCATGCCTGGCTAATTTTTAAATTTTTTTGGTAAGAGACGGGATCTCGCTATGTTACCCAGGCTGGTCTCGAATTCCTGGGCTCAAGCAATCCCCTCACCTCAGCCTCCCAAAGTGCGGAGATTACAGGTATGAGCCACCACACCCAGCCTATATATCAATTTTTCAAAAAGCAGTTGCAGCAAAACAGATTTTGATATTCTATAAGGAAGGGTTTTTGTCAGAATTGTTCCAAAGGTTCAGGCTGCCTCTGAGTGTAGTTTCCTGTTGTCGGAAGTGTTCATTTAATTCATAAACACTAAGTGCTTACCATAGGTCAGGCCCAGTGCTGGGCTCGAGGATGCAATGATGAATGAGAAATAGCCCTTGTTCTTACCTACCTCTCAGCCTTGCAGATACAAGAGGGATTTAAATGCCAGTTTACTCCAGCTCAGCAAACGTGCACTGAATGCGTACTGTCAACCAGGCACAGCATTAAAGGTTATTTTTCAGCTCTAAGGTTTTGGGTCACTTATTTGTTTTCCCCAAAATGCATTCCCAGACTGAATTTTTATTTTTTATTTTCAAGATCAATAGCTGTCGCTAAACGAAGTCCCACATACAAGATTAGGGAGGAACTGGTCATTGTTATGTTTATGCTTGAGAGAGGGGCTTGTCTGTGGAAATGACACAGCCCTTTCCTTGGCATCATGACCACTTGGACTTTGTCTTATGTCTCTTCCCGCCAGCTACAGAGATCAGTGGTGGCATCGGGAGAAAAGCAGTTGGAAGTAGAATACCGCATCAGCAAAAGGTAAGAGGGCCCTTCCTTGGCAGGGACTCCTGGTCATATCTGCTGCCCACCCTCGTGCCTGGCACAGCTGACAGCCAAGTCAGCAACAGCCATTCAGGGACTGTCAGGTGCTGCTGGAAACCCATAGCTCACGTTTATATCTATACAGCCTTTTCAAGAGGGAGAAGTTTCCATTCCCCTTTCCCAGGTTGTTCTATCATCTGAGGATGTAACTAGAAGTCCTTTTGAGAAAGACTCGAAAAAGCTCCTACACCCTAAACCAAAAACTGTATAGTTGTTCTCCTAACCAGGACTGTTGTTTCAGAGAATATAGTCCTGTCTGTGTTTGTAATATTACTTTACAAGATTCTATTCCCCCTCCTGACTCATATTCAAAGCATGACTTGCTAACAGTCAGGTCAGATGGGTGAATGGACTCTGGCTCTGATGGCTTCTCTGAAGGAGCAGATTCAGACGTGAGAGCTCAGCTTTATCCCTGTCTCTCCAGCCCTGACCACTCCCACTCCCTTTATTTGCACTGTGAGGACAGGGCTGGTGATACAGTAAGAGAAGCAATCTCCACCCAAACTGTGTGAGACAGCAATGTCAGTATCCGTGGGGAGAGGCCAGACCTCAGGCCTGGTGGTTAGTTTGTGTTGTCTGGGCAGTGAAGTGAGTGATGACAGCTGTGATTCAGAATCACTTGGCTTACCTTATTTGGTCTGGTACATTAAGGATATTTCACATGAGTAATTATTCTCTCAGCTTTGGAAGGTCCATGCGGCCTCAGCTTCATTGCTGCTTCTAACCTTTCTGCTGTTCTAGTGTCAGAAAATTCAACCTTCCATTTAGATTCATTGCTTCTTTGAGTTTTCGATCAAGAGACAGCCTCCTCTTTCTCCACTCACATCACGCCTCAGCCCTTTGTCTTTGCTTCTGTCCTCACAACTTCACTGGAGCTGGTCTCTCAAGAGTCACCAGGGAGCCCCTAATTGCCACATCATTTCCCTGCTCACACATCTTCACTGACTGTTCATTGTCACAGAGCAAAGTCTAGATTCCATACCACAGTGTCCTCAGTTTTCAGTGTCTTGTGTCATGTCCTGAGCCTACTCTTCCAGCCTTATCTCCCATTACTTCTTTCACAGACCAAGTGTAAGAAATTTGCACATATTATTTATTGTCACACCTCCATGTTTGTGCTTGTGCTGTTTCTTCAGGCTGGAATGCTCCTACATCTTTTCAATCTATTGGAATTTTATGCATCCTTCAAAATTGGACTTAAATGTCACACACCATCTTACCTGAATATTCCAATAGAATTAGCTTCTCCTTTCTCTGTGCTCCTCAGAACTTTATTTTAAAGTCTGTTTCACTTTTTTCACTTTTTTTTTTCTTTTTTTGAGTTGGAGTCTCACTCTGTCGCCCAGGTTGGAGTGCAGTAGCAGACTCATAGCCACCCCAGCATCGATCTGCTGTGCTCCAGCAGTCCTTCTGCCTCAGCCTTCCAAGTAACCAGAACTCCAGGTGTGTGCTACCATACCCGGCTAATTTTTTGATTTATTGTAGAGACAAGGTCTCACCATTTTGCCTAGACTGGTCTTGAACCTGAAGGCCCAGGCAATCCACTCACCTCAGCTTCCTAAAGTGCTGGGATTGCAGGCTTGAGCCACCGCTTCCAGCCTTATTTTTTTTTTAATTTTGAAGATGTGGGGTACAATTCAGGGTTAGGTATGCAGATGTTTATTATACAGGTATCGGTATTGATGAGGTGTGCCTCCCACCCGCCCACCGGCAGTTTCCCGCTACTGCCAATCCTGGCCCCTGCCTCCCCCCAGCAGTTTTCAACTATTGCCAATCCCTTTCTTATATTTCACTTATCTTAACTTGCACTTATTTATATTTGTGTTTGTCTTCTCCCAGGCAATTTGTGAGCCTTTTTGAAGACAATAGCTTTCTCTTGGGAATCTCTGCAAACCTCAGAGCATGTGGCATAGCTCTTTGCTTGTACTCTATATGAAAGAATGAACAAAACAGTCTGTCACTTAAAGAGCAATGAAGTGGTCTTCTCATGTCATTTCAAAGCTCTTCCCTTCACAGCCCTCATGGTCTCCCTGAGAGGCTCAGAGGCTTCCCTTGGGGAGCATTCCTCATTTCCCAGGAGCCCAAATTCTGATTCCAAAATTTCCATCTTGTCAGAACCTCAACTAGACATTCAGAAAAAGAGATCGAAGAGGTCTTTGACCTTTAACCTATCCTGGCTTATACTGCAGTAGAACGGAAGAGCAGAAATGTTCCAGGGTTTAACAGCAATCACTAACATGTTGCTTACGAGGCATCTTTGTAAGCATTGTCTTTTGCAGTGCTCACAAGTCTGTGAAGTAGGTATTATTATCATTCCATTCTATAGACGATGCACTGAACCTTAGAGAGGTTTATGGTTAAGTATCTGACTTGGGATCACTCAGAGGATCAAGGTACTGGTCATGGTTCTCTAAATCACAAATTTTTTCCATTGTTCCCATCTTCCTCTGTCAAGATAGCTCAGACCAGTTTTAAAGTGCTTATTGTCTTATTCCTCTTTGTATTCCAGTATCTGGGTGCTGTGACCCTTTGCTCTGTATCCTCAGCACCTGGCACATAACCTAGCATTCGGTGGGCCTCAGAGAAAGTTTGTTGAATGAATGAATGCATGAATGTTGAGACAGAGGGTAAAGTGGACTGAGCAGACTTTACATGAGGGATAAGTAAGTAAATAGGCATTCATGTCTATCTTCCCTCCCACCCTTCCTTCTTTCCATCCTTCCTTCTGGCAATTGACATAATTCATTTGTTTATTCATTTCTGGCATCCAATCTTTGTCATGTTTTAGTGCCTGGCTGAAGGAAACCATTGACCCAATGCTGGTGACTCTTGACCACCGCATTGCTGCCCTCACAGGCCTTGATGTCCAGCCTCCCCATGCAGAGTATCTCCAGGTGGTGAACTATGGAATCGGAGGGCACTATGAGCCTCACTTCGACCATGCCACGGTAACCATGGGTTAATGACCAATCGTTCAGGGAATACCAAGTGAAATCTTAGACCAAAGTTTCTTGTTCTAGAAATATCTGAAAAACCTTGGTTTCAGCCCATTGCTGCTGATTCATGTTCTTATTTGCTACCATTCTGCCTCCAAAATTTGCTGGTAAGGAAAGAATGTGACCTGTCATGGAATCGTCTCTCCTGGTTCACTTGGGGCTTTACTAATGAGGACTATCCTTCCAGTCACTCTCCTGTCTTCATGATCTCAACTGCCCAACTCTGTTGATTATAGCAAATAATTTTTGAAGATTAAAAAGATCTCCCCTAAATTGATCTGTAGATTCAATGCCAACTCTATCAAAATTCCAGGAGGTTTATTTTTGTAGAAATTAACAAGCTGATTCTAAAATGTATATGGAAATGTAAGGGCCTAGAACAGCCAAAACAGTTTTGAAAAGGAAGAGCAAAATTGGCAGACACACACTACCTGATCTCAAAACTTAGTATAGAGCTACAATAATCAAGGCATTGGTGTAAAGACAGACACATAGGTCAATGGAACAGAACAGAGAGTCCATAAATAAGCCTACACGTGGTCAATTGGTTTTTGACAGAGATGCCAAGAAAATTCAGTGAAGAAGATACAGTCTTTTCAACAAACGGTGCTGGAACAATTCAACATCTATCTGCACAATAATAATAATGGCTTTAGACACTTACTTTATACCATATATGAAAATTAACATAAAATGGATCATAGACCTAAATATAAGATGCAACACTATAAAATTTCTAGAAAAAAACATAAGAAAAAATCTTTATGATAAATTAGGCAAAGATTTCTTAAATGGGACACCAAAGCATTATCCATAAAAGAAGACAAATTGATAAATTGAACTTTGTCAAATTTAAATCATTTGCTTTTCAAAAAACACGATTAGAAAATGAAAAGATGGCCAACCCCTTTGGGTTCCTTCCCACTGTGGGAATTTTTCTGTCCTCTTAATAAATCCTACTTTCAAAAAAAAAAAAAAAAGAAAGAAAGGACAAGCCACCAACTAGGAGAAAATATTTGAAAATCATATATCTGATAAAGGACTTGTATCCAAAATATCTACAGAACTAGCTGGGCTTTGGTGGCTCAGCCTGTAATCCCGTAACTTTGGGAGGCTGAGGTGAGTGAATTGCCTGAGTTTGCGGGTTCGAAACCCACCCGGGCAACTTGGCGAGACCTCATCTCTACAATAAATCAAAAATTAGCCGGTCATGGTAGTGCGCACCTGTAGTTCCAGCTACTTGGAAGGCTGAGGCGGAAGGAACGCCGGAGCCCGGCAGGTCGAGGCTGTGGTGGCCGGGAGCGGCCACTGCACTCCAGTCTGGGTGACAGAGTGAGACTCCAACTCAAAAATATATATATATATCTACAGAACTTCAGAACTCAGTAAAAACACAAATAACTCACATTTTTTTTAACGGACAAAAAAGTATTTGAATAGACACTTCACCAAAGAAGATAAATGAACAATAAGCACATGAAAAGATGCTCAACATCATTAGGGAAATACAATTTAAAACCACAATAAGATAGCACTGCACTCCTTTTAGAGTGACTAAAATAAAATTTGCAGATTATAGCAAGTGTTGGTGAGGATATGGAAGACTTGGAGTTCTCATCTACTGCCGGTAGGCATGTAAAATGGTACACTTTGGAAAACAATTTAGCAGTTTCTTAAAAAGTTAAAGTCAAATGGGTTTGATCAATGGGAAGCAAAAAATATATACATATATAGATATATATATTAAAAGTTCACCTACATATGATCCTACCATTTCACTCCTAAGTATTATTGCCTAAGGGATAAAGAAATATATGTCTATACAAACACTTGTATGTGAAAGTTTAGAGAAGCTTCATTTATAATAGCCAAGAATTGGAAACAGCCCAACTATCTATCAACTGGTGAAGAGATAAACAAATTTTGGTATATCTGCATGATAGAATACTACTCAGCAATAATAATAAGAAGTCCACTACAACAACAGAGATGAGTCTTTAAAACAGTATGCAAGTGAAAGAAGCCAGACCCAATAGACTACATGTTTTGTGATTTTACTTACATGAAATTTCTAGAAAAGGCAAAATAGTGGAGATAGAAAGCAGACAAGAGCATTGCCTGGGGTTTGGAGTAGGAGCAGGGATTGACTGCAAATTGATATGAGGGAACTTTTTAGCAGACAGAACTGTTCTAAAACTGGATTGTGGGAGCAGTTGGACAACTATCAAAATTTACAAAAACTCATTGAACAGTATGCTTAACAACAGGATGAGTTATGATATATACATTCTATCCCAAACTGTTCCATGACCAAAGAAAAAGGGTATGTCTCTTCAGCAAATAACCAGGAACTCCGGTGTTATGATTTGGTACTCCCACAGAATAATGATATAATATTTTATATATTAATTTCTTCATAGAGAACCTAAAGGTGCAGTTAACCTCTCATATAGTACTTCTAGACAAGTAGTTCTGCTTGATTAGTATGTAATTAGTTTATATGGTTATCTAATAAATTAGTAAAAGATAGAAGAAAGTGTACTGAGTGCCTGTTAGCAAAGATGGGCATGTGCTCCAGTAGGTTAGCTCAGGGATACAACCCACCCTTGACACCCCCATTTTACTTCTCCCTGTAGTAATGGTGGAATCCTGGCTGTTACTCCAGTACTATCTGTATAAAATAATGATTTGTTCTATTTTTGTCTCAGTCACTGAGCAGCCCCCTATACAGGATGAAGTCTGGAAACCGAGTTGCAACGTTTATGATCTATGTGAGTCTTGCTCTGGACTTCTTACTTACTAACTGAATATTTATATCTCTAGTTTATTTTATGGTTTTCAAAGCAATTTCACATATTGATTTTACCAGCACAAAAACCTCCAGGGATTTTGCACGTTTCAGACAGCATGTTTGTTAGGCGCTGTAGGAAATATCAAGAAATAGAAGACAGAGTTTCTACACTCCTAGGGCTTACAGTGTGTAGATCTGAATATGACGTTAGCATGGGCAGTGGGTTAGGATGGAAAGTGGGGTTCCCTTGAAGGCCAAGAGATCAAGGGACTTGAACACCACAGGAAGAGGATATGAGTCTCTCTCTTTGAGGTCCCACAGACTAGTCAGTGTTGAAAATCATAGACCAGTTCCGGCTCGGTGGCTCAGCCTGTAATCCCAGCACTTTGGGAGGCCAAGGCGGGTGGATTGCCTGAGCCCGCGGGTTCGAAACCAGCCTGGGCAACTTGGTGAGCCCTCGTCTCTACAATAAATAAAAAAATTAGCCAGGAATAGTAGTGCGTGCCTGTAGTTCTGGCTACTTGGATGGCTGAGGAGGAAGGATCACCGGAGCCCAGCAGGTCGACGCTGGGATGGCTTTGAGTGTGCCACTGCACTCCAGCCTGGGCAATGGAGTAAGACTCCAACTCAAAAAAAAAAGAAAGAAAATCATAGACTTATAATAGACTTATAGATGAAGTTGCAGAGCTGTGAGGCGAGAGAGAAGAGAATGAGGCAGTAAGATTACAAGAGAGAAGAACAGACACCTACAGAGAAATTCAGTAAGTGTTGTTTCTGATGTGCAGTGGAAATTCTCTTTCTTATTGCCCCGTAAAATCTCCATTATACCCCCTAAAAATAAAACAATACATTGGCGTCTTGTCCTAATTTTTGACCTTATCCTATAAGGTTAAGTCCCAGTCTTTATCATCTCACCTACCCCTTGCCATTCAGGTCATGTGAGTACTCCTTCTCTGTAGACAAGCCACAATCCCAGTCATCTGTCTTAGAAGAGATTATTAGAAGTGATCACTTATTAGAAGAGCTATATTATAGTTAACTGAAGAGACAAATATGTTAAATAAAAGGGTTCTATATAACAACCAAAGATGAAGTTCTGGTTTCAGGCTCATTGGAATAGCAGACCCTCCCCACCCTAGCATTCCCTCTTCTCTTAAGGCTGTCACTGGTCTCCACAGTACAGCCAAGAAAGGGCAGTCAGAGGTGAGCATTCTACATAGTCTTTTTTTCTTTTTTTTGTCATCAGGTGTCTTGCTTTGTTGCCCAGGCTAGAGTGCAGTGGCACAATCACAGCCCACAGCAGCCTCCACATCCTGGCCTCAGGTGATACTTCTTCTGTCTCAGCCTCCTGAGTAGCTGGGACTATAGGCACTACCATGCCCAGTGTATTTTTTGTAGAGATGAGGTCTCGCTGTGTTGTCCATGCTGGTCTTGAACTCCTGGGCTCAAGCAATCCTCCCACCTCAGCCTCCCAAAATGCTGGGATTTTAGGCATGAACCACCATGCCTGGCCAACATAGTCTCTAATGCCGGCAGTTCCAACATATTTCTCCATATGGCTCAGTTCCATACTTCCTGCAGAACTGGAAGGCTTCCACTTACAGTGGTGTCTGGTTTCTTGGTGGTCATTCTGATCATCCTGAGCAGGCACAGAGGGATAGCTGAAGTCAGCTGTCAAGCAGGGAATACATCTTGAATGTGCAGCTGGCTGACCTCTCAAGCTGACATGGGAGGTCACAAGCAGTGAAGGAAAGAACTACTGCCAAAGAACAGGACACCTGGGGGCACAGTATATCTCTGATCTTTGTCTCTCTCAGTATCTCCTGTGGCTGGTTCCCTGGTTACAGGGGCCCAGTTACTACAGTGAAGGTAGCATGGATGTAAGAGCCCAGCAATTTTAAATGGCAAATGTAAGTGTGGGGGAGGGGGCTGGCTTGCACATACATGCAGATATGCTTGTTCATGTGCATTTGAGTTTTACACATTTGAGACACAGTGGAATGAAATGCACATTGGGTTTGGAGTCAGCTGGCCTAATCCTGTTCTGCCACTTTCTGTGTGGCCTTGGAGCAAATTGCGTCTATTATTTGAGCTCAGGTATAGCCTCGGGCTTCCACACAGGGTTGTTGTGAGCCTCTGATGAACGAATGTAAGGGAATATCACTCTGGAAGATTTCATTCCATATGTATCTATCATTGTAACCCATAAAGCGAGTAGAAGAAAGGACCTCATAAAGGAATCACCGTAGTGGGACCTCAGAAGTATTATGTTAGGCTCAATTCTTTCATCTCCAGGTTGGATAAAGACCATCATAAACATGTCTAAACATGGTTTGTGGGAAATGTAAGAGTAGTATTGTAGGGAAAAGATAATCTTTTAGAAGTACAGCAGGTTGAGTTGAAATCCAGTTAGTGATTTTCTACTCAGATCAGACTTAAGATCAGTCCCGGCACAAAACAGTGGAAGGCACACAGAGGAAAGAGTTCTCTCCCCTCCCCTACCCGTACAGCTGACACCCTGCTCATCAGCTTCACTGCACACAGAATCAGGTTGATGGGTATGACATTCCTTTCCACTATATGGTAAAGCTACATGTAAAGGTGCGCAGGAAAGTTCAGGTTGCACCTGTCGTATCTTGCTTACACCCACTGTGACTGACAACAACGTGAGTTAGAAAGAATCATCCAGTCTGTAAGTTGCCTGAACATGAGGAGCCGATTGTTCTCCTCAGCTTCCCAGTGGGCTACAGGGGGAGCCAGGGAATGCTGAGCATCACCACTGCCAGTTCCAGGTTCTGAGCCACCAGGTCTGTTCACTTTCCTCCAAGCGCCAATGTCCTAACTCCTATCGTCCTTGCTCTGTAACACAAGTAAACATGGTGGGATCTGACTGCCACAAGATCAATGAGCATGAACCCTTAGTAGACAGTGCTAGGCAGCACGAGGTAAGACTGGCACTCTCATGTTGTGTAACTGCTGAGAAAATAATTTAGCAGTATGTATTAGAAGTATCGAACTCATGCATACCCTTTGACCCAATACTAATACTAGTGCTAGGACTCTTTCCCATGAAAACAATCCAAAATGCAAATATAATTTCATTCATAATGTTTAATGCAGTTTACTTATAATAGTGAACATTTGGGCCGGACGCGGTGGCTCAAGCCTATAATCCCAGCACTTTGGGAGGCCAAGGCAAGAGGATTGCCTAAGTCCAGGGGTCTGAGACCAGCCTGGGCAACTTGGCGAGACCTCATCTCAATAATAAACAAAAAAATTTAGCTGGGTGTGGTAGCATGTGCCTGTAGTTCCAGCTACTTGGAAGGCTGAGGCAGAAGGATCACTTCAGCCCAGCAGGTCGAGGCTGTGGTGGCCATGAATGTGCCCCTGCACTTCAGCCTGGGCAACAGAGTGAGACTCCAATGCAAAAAAAAAAAAAAAAAGTAAACATTTCAATATAACCTAAATGTCCAAAATTGTAGCATAATGGTTATGAGCAGGGATTTTGTAGTCAGATAGCATTGTTTCAGCTCCAATCCTGGCTCTGCCATGGAAGAGTAAAGTAATCTCTCTCTGAGACTTGGTTTCTTCATCTTTAAAATATGAAGAATTAATAATAATAACAGACCAGCCTGGGCAACATGGAGAGACCTTGTCTCTATAATCAAAAATTTAGCCAGACATGGTGGCACGCACCTGTAGTTCCAGCTACTTGTAAGTCTGAGGCTGAAGGATTGCCTGAGCCCACCAGGTTGATGCTGGGGTGGCCATGACCATGCCACTGTGCTCCAGCCTGGGCAATGGAGTAAGACTCCAAATCAAAATAATTATAATACTACTACTAATAATAACAAATCTAACTCATAGGATTGTTGTGAGGAATAAGTGCGATAATATATTTGCAAGGTCTCCATCTAATGCCCAGCATATACTCAGTGCTCAGTAAGTGTCAACTGTTACTGTAATTGTTTTTTTCTGGATGGTAAGATGTTGAGTATTGATATTTTAAAATGTTTTCCTGTATTTAAAAAAGTTTGATTATTATATATTTCTTTGACAATCAGAAAAAAAATCTTCATATTATGAAAACATTTCCATACTCCTAGAATATTCCATTAGTGAAACTTCTTAGCTTAGGTGCCCTAGAGAGGATCGTATGAAGAATATGCCGAAGTCACAATAAGTAGTTACTTTGCTGCTTACCTTTCAAAATGATTTACTGAATTGTAGTCTGAATTGGTTTTCAAGTCACAAGTCATAATCCATTAATAGGCTGTGAGATTAATTTAGTGGACCTGACCAGCATTTAAGAAAACTGCATTAAACTTGAGTGATTTTAGAGTCTGTAATACTCAGTGATTTATCACAGAAACAAATAACTGAGTACCATATGTTATCACTCTTAAGCGAGTCCTGAATATTTACCATACTATAAGAAAGGGATTGGCAGAAACTGCCAAGGAAGGAGGGGGCACATATTATTAGTAAGGGTACCTGATCTCAAATCAGGCAAAGTGGGGATCAAAGGGAGGCCCAAATTTTGCCCGTACAATGACCACTTATATACCTAATATATAATACCTAATCAGGACTCACTTAAGAGTGATAACATATGATACTTGGTTATTTGTTTCTGTGATAAATCACTGAGTATTACAGACTCTGACCTGAATTGTACTCCACATATTTAAAATAAAATAAATTTTAAAAAAGAAAAAAACTTTACTAGAATAAAACAAAATAGAAAAGACCAGAGGGGTTGGCTGTTCATAGTCTTCTTTTGAGAAGTGTCTAAAAAAAAGAGAAAAGAAAAGAAAACAAAAGACCAGAGGGTATCTCATATTGTAAGAATGTTTTATGAAACTTTTCCTCCAGGAGAATGTGTGTGTGTGTGTGTGTGTGTGTGTGTGTGTATGTGTCTTGGGTCATGATGTAAAATGTATTTCTTCCCAAGGGTCTCAATCAAAAAAGTTTAAATCTACTTATTGTAGCCCTCAATAAGACCAGTTGTTGGAAAAGGGATGAAAGAAGGAATTCCAAAACATTGTCCCCTTCTGGCTCTTCAGGCGAATACCAGTGCCATTGAGTAGGCTCAATGGATGATTGTCTTTCAAGTATTTCCCTTAGAGTTGAAATAAGGGACCACAGGACGGAATCTATGCAGAAATGACATCAGATGTCAGGTTAACAAATACATGACCATAGGGAAGTCAGTGACTGTTTTAACTCTAGCTTCTTCCTCTGGCATTGTAGCTGAGCTCGGTGGAGGCTGGAGGAGCCACGTCCTTCATCTACGCCAACTTCAGCGTACCTGTGGTCAAGGTGAGTGGGGCCTGGTCCCAAGAGATGGGGGCTGTAAGTACAGAACTAACAGCTTCGTCTTCATGCTGTCTGTGCTTATCAGCCAACACCTAGGGTGGGGTGGGGGAATAAAAAGAAGTCTTCCCTGATTTCCAGAATCAATGATCCAGCAGTTTTCCTTAGTACTGCACACATACGTGTCACTTATGCCTCTGTTATTTTATTTACACTTATATGACTAGCAGGTGATTCCACGTCTGTCTTCCCTATCAAAGTAGAGGTCCTCAGAGGTAAACACTGTTGTATTCACTTTGGATTCTCTACAACAGTTAGTTCCTTCAGTCATTAGCTCAGTCAACAGTAAGAGCTAATGGCACGGATGGTATGAAGGAAAATCCGTAGCCCTTTGCTCCAGGAGTTCACAGCAAAGTCAACAGGCAGGACGACATGTTGTAATAAGAGACACAGAAGGGTAGACACTGAGGAGAACCAAGTGGCAAGAGGTTTGTTTAATGAATGAATATTTCCTCCAAATGCCAGATCAGTCAGACACCCTGGCAACCCTTGCCTAATTCAGGAATGAATGTGTGTCCAAGAGCCCTTAGCTCTGAAGATGGAAAAGAAGCAGAGAGGGGCTCCAGTGCTAAGATAAACGTAGCTGGGAGATGCCGCCCCCTTTTCCCTCATTACTCTGGAATGACTTCATGGGGAGGTGACCTTAGTCCCCATGCATCTGAAAATTAGTTTACAGGAGACAGGACTCGTCAGACTTTTTGCAGGTGAATACACGAGATCATGCCCATAAAGCATGCAGCGTAGTGCCTGACACATGTAAAGTGTTCAATAAATATATGCGGGGAATCTCTGGGTGCTCAGGGCTTTGGCGTCTCTTCTAGGGTTGGGGACACCGAGGCCACCAGAGCATACTGGAAATCTTTGCATTACCTGGGGCTTTGTCTATTTCTAAGGGCCAAGGGTAAAGTAGGTCTACAGGAAGCATAGCAGGACGCAAAGGCAGTGTAGTGAGGAGAGTGGGGAAGAGCATGTAGGATTTGGTGACAAAACACCTGAACTTGAGTCCTTCTTAGCTGCATTGTTTAAAGCCCTGAGCCTCCACTTTTTTGCCAAGAAAAATGGAGATTATGCTAGTGCCTGCTCCCTGGAGTTGTTTGAAATAAGTGCCAGTGGGGACAAGCTTCTGAGTTCATGAAGTTCTCGATTGTAGGAGGAGCATCTTGATCCACCTTGTGGTTTTGTTGAATGCTTCTCCTCAGTGATCCAGTGATGCTTCTGCTCTCCTTTCTTCTAGTGCTCACCACACTGTCTTGTCCAGGTCTGTCTCTCATGAGCTTCCCGTGAGCAGAACTGGACATGGTTTGTACCTGCACTCCCAGCGTCCAGAGCACAGTAGACACTCAATCAGCAACCTGTGTGCGAATGAGTAAATGGCAACTCATGCCTTTTGGTGCCAATTTACACATACTTTGCCCCCAGATTGGATGGAAAAGTTTCTTGTTATATGACACTCATCCTTAGTGTGTGCTTCCTGTGAATGGAGACTCTGGACTGACCCTTCCCGGGGCTGGACCCTCTCGTTTTCAGAATGCAGCACTGTTTTGGTGGAACCTGCACAGGAGTGGTGCAGGGGATGATGACACACTTCACGCTGGCTGTCCTGTCCTGGTGGGAGATAAATGGGGTAAGGCCTGCCTTTCTGGGCGTGAAGGGTGCAGAGTAGAGTGAAATAGGGGAGGGTAGGACAGGGCATAGCACTCCCATTCCAAAAGTTTCATTACAGTGTCAAATTGCATGGAGATGATCAGATGACGAACCAGATGCCCTCTGCAGAGTGGGAGCCTTCCGGGGGGTCCTGTCACAAAGCAGGTGTCAATAAGGGTGTAATGACAGGCCTTGGTTCCTGAGCATGGCCAAGGAGGAATATGGCGCATCCTCCCAACCCTCTACATAAGGAGAGAACCAAGAGTCAAGTCATCGCCTCTTCCACTTAGTGCTTTCTCACGAGGGGGTGAAGCCAGAAAAACAAGTGGGAAGTCCTCTCATGCTGAGAAATGCTGCCGGGAGACACCACCCCCCTTTTCTCTCATGACTCTGGAGTGGCTTCATGGGGGAGGTAGGCTTTTAGAATGAATGGGGGAGTGACCTTAGTTTTCACATATCTGAAAATTAGTTTACAGGAGACAGAACCCGTCAGACTTTTTCCAGAGGACAACATCCTTATCTCTGCTAAAAGAAACAGCCTGTAGTCTGCCATGGGGCCAGGACTAGGGTGGGCAAGTGTGTTGACTAGGGTGCAGGATGTGAGGTGGTTGCTGTCCACTCTGCTGAGCCTGCCCTCTTCCTCCTCCCTCTTCTCTCCCAGTGGCCAACAAGTGGATCCATGAATATGGACAGGAATTCCGCAGACCCTGCGGCTCCAGCCCTGAGGACTGAAATGCTGGCAGAGAGAAGTTGGTGGAGTCCTGGAGTCCTATGGCTTTCCAGAGAAGCCAGGAGCCCAAGCCAGGGTAGGAGAGGAGAAAGGAGAGCGGCCTCCTGGAGGAAGGCCTTGTCATCATTGCCTGTTCCTTGCAAGTGAGAGGGAAGGCAGTGGTCTTTACCAGGGCCCTGAGAACTTATGCTTGTTTCTGCTCCAACGATGAGAGTCCAAGTAGAATGGACAGCATGAAGGCAAGGGTAATGGGGCCTGGAGGGCTGCTTTCTGAAGCTCAGATGTTCTCTGTCAGGAACATGACATATCTACAGGCTCTGGGGTTTGGTCAGTGGGGCTTTTGCCACTTGAACCTTAACCATAGAAACTGAGAAGTGGCGATGAGGATACCTACAGGAAGGGTTGTCCTGACTCCCGTGACTGTAAGGCCTTCTTCCCACTGCCTTCTTTCTGCTTAAGCCCGAGCAGGGAGTACCTCTGTCTGAGAAGTGTACCCATCGGAAGGGTGCATCATGGGATGATTTTTTTTAAAAGTTGACAGCAACTTTCTTTTTACAGGTTGTTTCTTTAATATGACCATTAAAAATGTTTACAAATCAGTTTTCTCAATTGAGAAATTCTTACTTCGTAATGTTGAGTGAAAAAAAAGCAGAGTACAGTTGGCCCTCTATATCTGTGGTTCCCCATCCATGGATCCAGCCAAACTCGGGTTGAAAATATTTGGGCTGGGTGCAGTGGCTCAAGCTTGTAATCCTAGCACTTGGGGAGGTTGAGGTGAGAGGATTGCCTGAGCTCAGGGGTTCAAGACCAGCCTGGGCAACTTGGTGAGACTTTGTCTCTACAAAAAAACCAAAAAAAACAAGCCAGATGTGGTAGCGTGCGCTTGTAATTCCAGCTACTTGCAAGGCTGAGGTGGAAGGAGCACCTGAGCCCAGCAGATTGAGGCCATGAGCATGCCACTGCACTCCAGCCTGGGCAACAGAGTGAGACCCTGACTCAATAAATAAAAAAATGAAAAAGAAAATATTTGGGAAAGAAAAGAATAATTGTGTCTGTACTGCACAGGGACAGATTTTTTTTCCTTGTCATTATTCCCTAAGCAATACAGTATAACAACTGCTTATATAGCATTTATACTGTATTAGGCATTATAAGTAATCTGGAGATGATTTACAGTATACAGAGGATGTGTGTAATTATGTGCAAACGCTGCACTATTTCATATCAGGGACTTGAGCATCTGTGGATTCTGGATCCTCAAATTCCCCAGGGTCCTGAGTGATGACTGTATATAGCATTTTATTTATGTTATACTCTCAGCACGGCTCACTTCTGCCTCTCTCCCTCCCTGGCTACCAGACATTGTTTGTTTTTTGTGTTTTTTTTTTTTCGAGTCGGGGTCTCACTGTTGTACAGGCTGGAGTGCAGTGGCACTCTCACAGCTCACTATAGCCCCAAATTCCTAGTCTGAAGTGATCCTCCCGCCTCAGTCCCCCGAGTAGCTGGGACTATAGACGTGTATCCCCACATCTGGCTAACTTTTAAAATTTTTTTGTAGAGGTGAAGTCTTGTTATGTTACATAAACTGGTCTCAAACTACTGGGCTCAAGAAATCCTCCTACCTCAGCCTCCTAAAGTGCTGGGATTATCAGGCATGAGCCACTACGCCCAGCTAAAACACTGACATTCTAGCCCCTGTTGCCACCACCATTGCTCCTGCTTCTCTGGCCTTGGCATTTGCTGGGCCCTCAATCTTCCCACAGCTGAACTCTTCTCATGATTCCACTCTTGACTCAGCGTTACTTCAGATAGGCCTTCCCAGACCACCCTACCTTCTAGCCACTTTCTTTCATATTAACTGGCTTAATTTTCTTCATAACACTTATCTGGTTTGAAATGACCTTATTTGTATGTTTCAGTTTGGTCAGTTGCCTTCCATGCAAGACAAGTGCTTTATGGCCCCCTGTATTTTTGTCAATGCCGCTATTATAGACACCAAGTCACTGAGTTTCAATATGTGTTTATTTACTAGGCTTTTCCCACTAGACTCTGTGTTCCTTTTAGAATCCCCAGAAGAAGGTCTGGTTCAAAATAAGTGGGCATTCAGACGATTTGCACAGGCGTCCTTTGAGCTGGGCCATGGAGGACAGGTAGACTTTGTATAAGCCAAGTCTGAGGAGGAGAAGCGTTTCCCAGCCAAAGGACTAGCAGGAGCTAAGGCTGCATCGATGGGTGACTGTGCTATTTGGGTCTTTGTGCCAAGAGAACATTTCAGGCCACTTGGCTCAGGCTCCTCCACGGGGGTATAGGTGTGTCTTGCTCACAAGAAAGCCACCCAGGGAAAGGAATGGGTGGTTAGACGCCCACTGCCCCCACCCCTCCCAGCTCTCAGGACCTCAGCTACCCAGAGCTCTGTGGCCCCAAGGGAGGGGTTCCCAGTATTTCTGAGTGTGCCAGGATTCTGAAAATCTCACTAAATTACCCACAACCTGCCTCCTCCAGCTCCAGAGGAATGGGCCTGAGTCAGAAAGTAACTGTCTGCTGGGGAGATTGCTCCCCTTTCTTTATAGAACCTAGACTTCTCAGAATTGCAGGACAGGACTGGGTGCAGTGGCTCGCACCTGTAATCCCAACACATTGGGAGGTTCAGGTGGAAGAATTTATTTCTTGAGCCCAGGAGTTAGAGACCAGCCTGGGCAACATAGTGAGACCTTGTCTCTATTAAAAAAAAAAAAAAAGAATTACAGAACAGGTCTGAGCTAATCTTAGCAATAGCACCATTCTAAGGGCTGCATGCATTAATTATTTAATGCTCTTCCCAGCCCTATGAGGTCCATACTGTTCATTATCTCCATTTTACAGATAAGGAGGCAAATTCAAAGAGGTTAGATCACTTGTCAGAGGTCCCAGAGTCTGGCCCCAAACCTTGTGCTTTTAACACATGTGTGTTTAACAATGTCTGAGATGTGGCAATTGACCAGATGACTGAGACCCAGCAAAGTCTTGTTGCAAGTTAATCAACAATGGCTTACTGAGCATTCCTTGGGAGAGGCCCTGGGCTCAGCGGTGCTAGAAGAAGAGCTGGATGCCTCCCGAATGTTGCCAGTCAACAGGAGGCAGATCCTTGTGATGTGGGATAGCTGAGAAAGCCTCATTAGTTTATTCAAGTCACACTGACAAGGTGCCTATTCAGTGCCAGACCCTGCTGGCACGAGGGATGGAAACAATTAGATGACAACCCTGCTCCTGGGAACGGAGACAGACCCTCCAATTCTCACAAGAAAATGGAGCCATGAGTGTAGACAGGAAGAGGGAACATTAAGAGGCCCCCCAAAGGTTTCGCGGGTGGGAGGGACCTGAGCAAGTCTTGACGATGGGGCGGTCCCCTCGAGGCTGCGAAGGAGGGTCCAGGCTGGGCACGCACTAGGGGGAATGCCTGTCCCTGAAGCTATGGATAGTAACACGTTGCTTTTGACCAGCCTGGTAGCTTTCAGAACACATTATCCCTCCTCTTGAAGCTCACCTACCCAGGGAGGAAAGCAGGTGCTGTGGAGAGCGAAGTCAAAGTTGGAATGATTAGTGGCTTCCCAGGAACTGCACAGTAGAGCTGGGAGACACCTGGTCTCTGTGTCCCTTACCAGTGCTCTTTCCACTTGGGAGTTTGCTTGTTTGTAATTTTGTTTCTTTCTTTCTTGGACTATTCTGTGAGCTGTTTTCTTCCTTCCCTCCTTCCTTCCTTCTTTTTTTTGGAGCCTCACTCGGTTGCCCAGGCTGGAGTACAGTGGCTTGCTCATGGCCACCTCAGCATCAACCTGCTGGACTTCGGTGATCCTTCTGCCTCAGCCTTCCAAATAACTGGACCCATAGGCGTGCACTACCACGTCCGGCTAATTTTTTGATTTATTGTAGCGACAAGGTCTCACCATGTTGCCCAGGCTTGTATCGAAACCCTGAGCTCAGGCAATCCTCTCACCTTGGCCTCCCAAAGTGCTGGGCTTACAGGCTTGAGCCACTGCGCCCAGCTCTGTGAGCTGTTTTCTAACAGCTGTGTCCAATCTGGGTTTCTGGCATTTCACTATATGTCACTTGCAAGCCTCATTCCAGGTAACGTTCTTTACATTAATGACTATTATTCAATATCGTAAGTAATCACATATTAATCATTTACTATAGGCCAGGCGCTGTGCTAAGAACTCTGGAGTATTTGTCTCCTTTAATTCTCACTGTAATGGGAGGCCAAGGTGAGAGGACTGCTTGAGGCCAGAAGTTCGAGACTAGTCTGGGCAACATAGTGGGACCCTATCCCTACAAAACAAAACAAAACAAATTCTCGCATTGAGTTAAGTACTAACATGCCCATTTTATAGATGAGGGAAATTGTAGCAGAGAAAATGTAACTTGCTTGAAGTCATACAACTATAAAGTGGCAGAGGCAAGATTCAAATCCAAGTCTGTCACTAAAGGTCTTAACTAGCTATCTGTTGTCTGCAGTACATGTTATTTTGCTGTTGTTGCTTTGCTCCCATTACAGTAATACCTTTGGGAGCCACCAGTTTCAGGGCTTTAGGGGGGAGTCTCCAACATTTTCCTAGGTGTTGAAAAGGTCTATCCACTGTGCCACTGATGCCCAGTGGCTAAGAACCCTGTCAGATGTAGAAGTTTGTTGGATACAGGAATTAATCATTTCAATTCCGCAAATGTGCAGTAAACACCTATTGCATGACCAGCCCCATGCCAGGTACTCCATGAGATCCTGAGGAAAGGAGGTGGCCTGCTCCCTGCCCTAACAGCAGAGTTGGTGCATGTCCAGATGCAAGAGGAGAGGACTGGATTTACTCTAACGGAGAGCTGTGTACTGCTTACCCCGAGGACCGCGGGAGCTGGGGGAAAGGATGGGACCCTATGGCCAGAGGGCTGAGGGCTTCCATGCTGGAGCCCCAGGAGCACATGGAATGATGGAGAATGTATGTCTGTCGAGGGCTCATCGGCCACCCAGCTTGTCCACCTTTCACACATAACAGGGTAGCAGAAAGAGCTGTTGGGGAAGAGGAAGTCTCGAGAGGGTGCTGATTCTGGGGGGCTCTTGTCCAGCAATGCCAAGAGCAGTACAAACTGCTCTTTCATGGAACCACTGAAAGAGTCTCCTGTCTGGGGGCGGTGGCTGCTCCCACCAAGAGAGGCCAAAGGAGCCTGTGTGGAGGGACTGGGGCTGGGGAGAGGGGCATTTGCCTGCAGGCTGCTGGGTACTCAGGAGAACTATGAAGTCGGCTAAGGGCTGGGGGAGGAAGCAGATGACTGCGCCTTCTCCTTGCCAGAGAGTGAACTCCCGCATCTTATTGACAACAATGATCATCCCTTTTGGCAAAGGAGGAAAGTGGAGTTCACAAAGAAGTGGCAAAACCAGGACTTGGAGCTAGGGAGGGCTCTGCCAACCCCAGCTGGCTTCTAACGTCTTTCTCTCTGTGCTTTTCTCTTCCTCACCTTGAGACTGCCACCATCTCCCCATTAGAAATTAGAGCTTTTCTCTTTTCCATCCTCTCTGCCCCATCCCCCCTTTATATTCACTTTCTTGGTCACAGGAACTCTTCCATCAAGTGCT